GGGGGGGGGGGGGCACTAAAAGAATTGATCAATTCCGCAACTGTGTTTTACTCTGTCTACGAAAAAAACCATGTTTTGGAGTGTGGGCCGCACGGAAGGCCAAGCCCCATCACAGACAAGTACACCTGCAACAGAGAAGGCTGTTTCAGGGCAACATGGCACCAGCGTTCGGGTGCTGGGGCGGCAGCCTCTTGACATGCGCAGACGGAGTGGCCTCGTACTTGGCGAGGACGCGAGCACCGCGTCGCGCAGCTGTGCCGGGCCTGCGGGAGGCAGCACGGCCTTCCCCGCGGGTCACTCCACGGGCGGCCGTGTCCTCCACACGCACTCACGGCGGCCGCGCCCAGAGGCGCTGAGAACCGCATTTCCCTCGCTCCTCGGCCGCCTCCTGCAGGCCTTCGCTCCCCTGGCGTCAGGGCTTCCCAGGGACTCTCAGCCGTGATAGGGCCGAAAGAAGCCTCAGCCACGCCCTCCTTCCAGGCCTGGTCGCTGGTTGCCGGGCAACGGCTCCACTCTCGCGAGATTTTGGAAAGCAGCGTTTGGGAATCACTTAGCAACCATCCAAAGGCTGTGAGATGGAAACTTGGTCTTGGCTTCAGGGTGGTTACATTGAGGCCTGGAGAGGTTGTGGAGGTTCAGACAGCGTGTTCTTCTGCCTTCTCTAAGACTTGTGCTCTGGAGGTCACTTGACCTTAACAGCCTGACCAGAGACGAGGTTTCTGACTAAAGTTTCCTCATTTGTAAAATGAGTCCAATAATCACTACTTTGGGGTTGTTCGAAGATTAAACATGGATTTATTTGTGCATACAGTGAGTTCTGTTCTGAACATATGTAACTGACCTTTATTCTGAAATGAGACAAACACTTGACTTGGAGGAGTCACGAATATATGAAAACTCTAAAACTTCTTAACTCCGACCTGTTTTTATAGTAATTGTTCGTCAATACATTAAAAACAGCAAATCCTTTTTAAATATAGCCTTATTAAATGAGATTTTATTACTAAATAAGATTTAGCAACTATTATCTTGATCTATTACTTGTCTTTAGGTCTGTTGGATACTATAGTTGGAATAGTTTTCCAAGTATAGTTTAGAAAAACATATAGCTGCTTGGTGCCTTCATGGACTATTATAGGTTATGAGATTTGGGATATTGTAGAAACAGATAACAGACTGCAAGCTTGAAAGTTAAAGAAGGCAAAGCACTATGATTTAGGCATGGAAATAGGCTAACATCTCTAGATTTTTAGGCCAGTAATTCAGAAGTTTGGGACTTCTTGTTTGGACACTGGCCTGAGAAAATCTTAGATCAAGATCTTTTGAAAATTAGTCTTCATAGTCGTACTTTGCTTTATTCCTTGTGAGTATCACTAAGAGTGACATGCATGGTATGTCCTCAAAGGTTTATGTGCTGAAATCTAATTGCCATTGTGAAATTGTAAGAAGCATGGAAATAGGCTAACATCTCTAGATTTTTAGGCCAGTAATTCAGAAGTTTGGGACTTCTTGTTTGGACACTGGCCTGAGAAAATCTTAGATCAAGATCTTTTGAAAATTAGTCTTCATAGTCGTACTTTGCTTTATTCCTTGTGAGTATCACTAAGAGTGACATGCATGGTATATCCTCAAAGGTTCATGTGCTGAAATGTAATTGCCATTGTGAAATTGTAAGAAGGTAGAAACTTAACCCTACTGGTGTTTAGATGTGATGTGGTCATTCAGAGGTGATTAAGATGAAATAATCAAGATGGAGTCCTCAGGACTCAGTCCAAGTAACTTTATAAGAAAGGGAGAGACCAGAGAAGATTGATTCCCTGTCTCTGCTAAGTGGTACCTTGTGCTTCTTTGGGACTTTGCCAGCAAGAAGGGCATCAGCAGATGTGGCCCCTTGACCTGCACCTCTGGAACTATGAGCCCAAATAGGCTACTTTTCTTTAAATTACCCAGTCTGTGGTATTGTGCTACTGGCAGCAGTAAATGGGTTAAGACACTCTTTATATATGGAATCCGTATTTTTGGTTGGATTTTAGTCATGGTTAAAAGCCAGTTGTCAAGGTGAAGCTCTGAGAAATGATCCAACCAAGTTATACAAGAAGTAGAAGCTATTTTAACTCAAATATAGTCACATATGTCAAAAAATTTAGAGAAAAATGATAAAGTGGTGCATAATAGAAATAGTTAGAAATTCAGGAAAAATTTGAGTCATATTCATTCAGCCAATCTTCACTGAATGGTTAATACATATCAGATACTGTTTGTAGTGTGAGGTTATTACAGGGAGCAAAACATATGGAGATTATGTTTTAATGGGAGCAAGCAGGCAAGCCAACAAGAATAAGAACCATGCAGATGATCATTACTCTGAGAAGAACAAAGAACACAGTGAGTACTGGAGGTACGTAGGCCTCTGCAGGGTAGTTCTTTTACGTGGACTAGTCAGAGAAAGCCTCTGACCAGATGGCATTGGGGCAGAAGGGCGAACCATAAGGAAGGCCAGAAGACCTTGCCAAGGCAGGGGAAGCAGCAGGTACAAAAGGACTGAGAGGTGTTGAATTGAGCCAGTGTCATTTTAAAACGCTTTCATATATTTCTCCCCCCCGTGTTAAATTTTAAATTAAAATGGTTGTCTGAAGTATTTGCTTTCAATTAAAAAAAAACTTTAAAAATTGTTTTTAGCTACATTTATTGAAGTGGGGTGTGCATGCCATGGTGCACATACAGATGTCAGAGGACAACTTGCAAGAGTTGGTTCTTTCCACTGTATGGGTCCAAGGGATTGAACTCAGGTTATCAGACTTAGTGACAAGTGCCTTTACTCATTGAGCCATCTCCCCAGCCCCTAAATTGTTTTTTTCCATTAAAAAGGTTTTTTCCCCTAAGTTCATTCTTCTGTTTGAGACAATAACACATACTGGGAATTAAATTATTGCTCTTAAGTTAAAGTGAAAAGAAAGCCAAGTAAATTTCTCAAAGACTGAGTTTTTCCCCCTTCTCTGTGATCTTACCAGGGAAGGTTTACTGGACAGACCCCTTATAACACCAGCCTCTGCCTTTTCAGAAGGCAGACTTAGTCCTGCAGCAACTCTGTTCATATGATAATCATAAAAAAAATAGCATAAGAAAAGAGGAAAAGGGAACTAAAACTATATAACCTCCAAAGGCACAATCGCTGGCATGGGAATCAGGAAGAAAATGAATTTTAGAAAAATGACCAAAATTAAGTTATTAGGAATATTATTTATTTTGAATAATTTATTATTTTTGAATTTATTGAGCAGAGACCTAAATGAGAAAAAGAAGGGACCAGAGCATTCAGTTCTTTATGACATCATAGAAATTAGTGACCATGGGGCTTTTGAGGTCTTGTCACAGTTTGACGAAGCCATTCTAGGACTTGGGAGCCAGAGTCTAGTCTAGTACCTGTGTGTGCCTTTCTTAGAGTATCTGCCTTAAGATAACCCACTCAAAGGACAAACCTTGCAAAGTATTTTCAAGCTCAAATCTTGAGATCCATCTGTTCCACCCAGCAGCTAACCAAGACTCAGTCCAAGGGTCATTCCCATAAAGATGCGTTGTTTACCCCTCTATCATCATCATCAATAACTTGTCTTTGGTGTTGCCACTGAAAGTGACTTAGTACTTGGAAATGAGGCACTGCAGTACTTTTGTCCTCTGCTCAATAAATAACAGGGTAAAGCACCTCAGATGAGAAGTGGTGTGAAGCCCTACAACAACAAGGCCTCTCTTCAACAAAGTGTCCCCGGACCGGGCAATGGAGACCTGTTGGCCAGGTTCCATAATGTTCCAGCTACTTTAGCCTCCTAAAACAACTTCATTTTGGCATTTAAGATTTCATTGTGGTATTTGATAGTTAGAGGTATAAAGTTCATTTTGACCATTCAGAGCTCTCCTTCTCACCTCTCAGAGCAGCCTAGATCTGTCCTGAGTGGTGGTGGCTGGGGAAAATGGGAGGCACTGTTTGCCATTTCCATTCTTCTCTTCTTCAAGATTCTTGCCTCTTGCACTGTTGGGATTAAGATATCCTGGGGCCAATAGGACAAAATTCTCCTTACCTGGCTAAGTTACCATCTGGCTATGTGGTTGGATTCACACGCTCATCTGTGGACTTCATGAGGAGAATAATGGCTTAGCCCCCCTCTCTGCATCAACACACACATAATGGGCTCTCTTCAAAGCATGCTCAGGCAATAATCTCTTGTGAGAGACTGAGGGGAATACTGGTTAAGCTCAGGAACCTATTACAGGAGGTCAAATATTCTGAGACTTAACAGCTGAATGACTGCTGGCAAGTTTTAAAAGTTTTTTATGCCTCAATTCATTCCCTGCAAAGTGGGGTAATTGAGTAGTACCTATCTTGTAGAGTTAAGATTAACATGAATGGTATAAGTGAACAGCACGCACAGTTCTAAGCAGTTACCTGTTCTCCACTCATGTAACATGGGGGGTGGGGGCAGGATCCAGCCATCACCCTGTGGCATAAGGCAGTGAATAGCTTTCAAAGTATCCTGTGGAACCAGTAGCATTAATGTTATGTGAGAATATTTGAGAATGCAAATTCTCAGGCTCTACCTCAGTCCTATGGAATCAGAAAGTGGTAGACCAATCTACACTTCAGTAAGCCCAGCAGGTGTTTGAACTTGATGTAGTGCACATTTTGAGAACCATTGGCATAGCAGGTAAAGTGTGGACTCTGAAGTTAGAACACCTACTTGGATGATCTTGAGCAAGTCATTTAACCCCTCTCTGACGTCATTTCTTTGTAAATGGGAATATAATGTGTACGGAATATATTCTCATTCTCTTGTTTTCTATGAGAATATCTGAATCACACATTCTCACTTAGATCCAAGTGGGTGGGCAAGAGGAGAAGGAGGAAGGAGGAGGAGGGGGAGGGGGAGGAGCAGAACATGGTCCTCAGACATTCCTGGGTTTGGAGGAGGAGGAGGAGGAGGAGGAGGAGGAGGAGGGGAACGAGCTTGCTTCTCAAAGCCAAGTCTATAAAGCAGCAGCATCAGAATCATTAGAAATGCTAATCCTCAGGGCCTGTCCAGACCAACTATAGACAATGTACATTAAAAATACATTAAATGCTCCCTGGCTATTCTAAAGGACAGTATATAACTTAACTCCAAACCTACTGAATAAGAATCTCCTGGGAGTGGAAACTTCTCATTTGCATAATTAAAGGTTCCATTTTTTTATTCTGATACTCATTAAAGATTGAGAAACCTTACTGAACTCAGAACAGCTAATTTCCATTATGTCAAAACCAAACCAAACCAAACCTGAACTCCCTCATGTTGCTAAAGTTGGCAGGCTGCAAGACATACAAAAGAAGAAATTTATTGTAAGAAAAGCAGGTACGTTTTCATTGACAAAAGGTGGATGAAAATGAAAACCTGTGAAGACCACTAGTCTTGCATTCTGAATGATGATAGTTCTTTGCATAATTTTAGCATATTTGGTAAGAAATTATTAAAAGTTCTCTCGATCACCAGCCAGACCTGCTAAAAATATGTTAATGAAACTTTTTTTTGAAATCACATTTCAAGATAGCTGTCATGCTAAAAACATGTCATGGCAAAATTCCGCTATTAAATAAATCCAAATTAAAGTAAATGGCCAATATATTCTCAGTGGAGTTGAGATTCGATGAGCTGATACATGGACTATAAAGCTGGGAATAAGACAAATTAACCTCTCAGAACTCTATAAAATGTACTACCAAAAAGTTATGACAGAACATCCAAAAGAATTTGTAAATTGAGTTGCTCATGAACTCATCTAATGACTTACCAAGCACTGTTATGTGCACTGGTATGTCTACCACATGGGTTTCAGGGATTAAACTCAAGTTATCAAGTTTGGTGGCAGGTGTCTTCACATACTGAGCTATCTCACTAACTCCGAAACCATAAGATTCTTTTTTTTTTTTTTAAACACAAGCTTAAGATAAATTTAACTGAAGAAAATCTTCATTAACAATGAACAATGAAATGAACAATTAACAAAGATTACCATTCTTTAAACATTCTATACATTATTAATATATACTGTGTATTTCCAATCAATTCCACTCAAGCTCAATTTAAGAAACACAATTTTAACAGGTTTTATACAAAAAATACTCCACTAAGAAAGTAAACTGCACAAAAATAGGACAAGTGTAGTGTGTATAGCAAGATAGCTTGAAGCAATCTATTATAAACCATAAGATTCTTAAAGACACATCTAAAGCTAAAAGATATAAAGTTATAAGTAAATGGGTAGATAAACGGGGTTGGAGAGATGGCTCAGTGGTTAAGAGCACTGACTCTGCTCTTGCAGAGGACCTGGGTTCAGTTCCCAGTACCCATATGGTGGCTAAGAACCATTTGTAACTCCAGTTCCAGAGGATTCAATGCCCACTTCTGGCTTCCATGGGCACTGCACACATGGGTGCACTTACATATGTGCAGGCAAAACACTCGTGTAAAATAAAAAATTAAAGATATGGATAAACTTAAAAGATACAAATAATAAGAATAGAAAAAAATAACTTTAAGGGAAAATTTTGGGCTAGGAAAGCAGGGTCATTTCATAAAGATAAAATATTCAAATAAAATCTATTATTTCTTCAAAAAAATTCACCTCATAAAGTGCTATGATTCTAGGCTTTAATGCACCTAAATCATCCCCTTAAATAGAAAAGGTTAAATTAACAGAGTTAGAGGAAATAATTAAATCTGTAATCATCATGGGAGATTTTTCATATTTTCTTCTCAGTAATAAAGGAAAAATATTAAGAATATAGAGTGCAGGGACTGGAGAGAAGCCTCAGTGGTTAAGAGCACTGGCTACTCTTGCAGAGGACCCAGGTTTGATTCCCAGCATCCACATGGCAGCTAACAACCATCCACAACTCCAGTTCCAGGGCATCCAATGCCCTCTTCTGACCTCTGTGGGCACTGCATGACCTGGGTGCACTTACATACATGCAGGCAATACACTCACACACATAAAATAAAAATAAAATATTTAAAAAAATTAAAAATAAGAAAATAGAGTGTTTGGGAATATAATTAAGAAATGACACAAAGGGGCACCATACTGAAATCCAGACCTTGGTATGCTATCTTCACCTGTCTGGAGGAAGAAACATAGGACCATGAGATCTATTTTTCTCGTCCATTTTTCCATTTATATGGAAGCACATGTATACACAAGGCAGTATTTGGGGAAGTTCAGGAGGTCTGGGCCAACAAAAACTTTTGAGATCTTCTGATTTTGGATCAATTAGTGTTACATAAATATGCAAAAATACTATGTAAAATGAAGTGAGATTTCAAAATGAATGGTGTATCCTACATGGATGTATCTACTATAAAAGATACTCCCCTTGGAAAAACAGTACTGTCTCTCTTGGGAGCCAGACACTGAGAATGAGGAGGAGGAACATTTAGTAGACTTATTCACCTTCTGAGACAAACTCCTGCCATTCATTCATTCATTCATTCATTCATTCATTCATTTTGTGAGACAAGGTCTTGCTATGTTGCCCAGGAAGGCACCTGCTGTCATCTTGCCTTCCAGCCTCCTGAGTAGCCTAGATTACAAGTATGTGCCATTGCACCTGGTCTTTAGTTTTATTTTGAAGAATTTTTAAAACATTCTGTCAGTTGTCTGCCTCAGTAATTTAGAACATTTTGTTAGAAAATTCCCAGTAATAAGTATTTAAAAATCTGAAAATGTAGCCAGGCATGGTGGTGCACTCCTTTAATCCCATCACTCTGGAGGTAGAGGCAGGCAGACCTCTGTGAGATCGAGGCCAGCCTGGTCTATATAGGGAGTGCCAGGTCAGTTGGGGCTACAGGGAGACCCTGTCTCAAAATGACCCCCTCCAATATCTAAAAATGTGCTAGGCATGTTAACACATACGTGTAAATCCTGAAAGCTGGTGAGGATCAGGAGTTCAGGGTCACCCTTGGTCACTGTATAGTGAGTTCCAGGCCAGCCTGGGCTACATGAAACCTTGTCTCAAACTACTTTTCTCCTTTATAGAGTGAAACCAACACTCAATATGAAATACAAGTTTTGTCTTGCCATCCTCTTTATTATAATAGACACACCTCTCATAATCAATATAGTACAAAAAAATTCACAAGGTAGAGACATTTGGAAGAATTCCATTTATTGTGGATGCATTTTCACAATATATTTTTATTGTAGCAATCAATTATCAGTGAAAAATATCGTGTCCATAACAGTCTTTAAGAATTGCAGATTCACAGAACATGCTAGTCAGCTTGCAGTTTTATCTCTTAAAGATAACGGAGAATTGTAATCAAACAAGTAAATGAGGAATTTGCTTTATCAAAGATGAAATCAAAACTCAAAAAAACTCTACCCTAAAACTTATGTCATCCAAATATTGGAATAAAAGTCAGGATCATGACATTCTCTTCTCAACTTTGAACTTTCTAAAAAATCAAAACCTACATAAAAGCAATCAGGTGAAGCTCTTGTTCAAATGTTTCACAAAGCAGTGTCCCTCACCATCAGCCTTAAATCAAACTTTGATCCATTTCACTCCAATGATGGAAGTCATGTACATGGGTGTGCCATGTGCAATCTATTTTATCTTACCATAGACTAATGTCTACTCTGTCATGGGTGGGTGACTTGTGTAGTCTTAGTGTCTTTCCTTCCTTTGGCCAAAGTGTGCTAAAAGGTAGGGGATTCAACTAACTTTTACTAATTCATGAGGGAAGTAGTCTTTTCAAGGCAGTGGTTACCCCTTAAGCCAGCCTTCCCTCTTACAGGGAAATATATAGATTAGAAATAGTTATTAAGGAGGCTCTTTTGGGGTGAAAGAAATGAAGAATAACATACTTTTGGTTACGTCAGCTGAGGTATGTTTACATAATGACAATGTATGTATATTCTCTATCAGAACATCTTGCAGAGACACTGGGGTATTTTTTTTTCTCATTATCTATTCAGAAGAATGAAAACTTACAAGCTAAAATAGGATCTGATATCTGAAAGGAGAGTCACTAAAGACTCTTAGGAAAAAAAGTAAAACTAGTATTTGTTGAAATTTCAGCATATTATCAACTTATGACAGTACCAAATGACTAATAAAGACAGAAAATTTTAATTAAAAAAGTCTGAGTATATAAAAATGGAAGCATTGCCATGCCTCCTCAGTACTGGATTTTACTCACTTATCTGCTTCTTGACACAAGCCCAAATTGGTCTTTGTTTAGGCTTCTACATGGAATTCTAATCTGTGCAATATTCTTGACTTTAAATTGTAGAGAAAGGAGAGACCTTAGATATGTAGGTCAACTTTTTGGGAACTTCATTATTAGAGATAAGCAGGTGAGCTTGATCCAGATGGTAGACTTAATAAAATTCACACTGGACTTCAAGATTGCCTTCAATTATAAACTAAATACTATGTCTTATAAGAAAATTCAACTAAATTTTGACACTTCTAATTTCTCTTTTTTTCAGTACATTTTTCTTACAGGTCATTGGGCATTGAAAACATATCTAAACCTAACCTTCATATTTCTACTGGCAAATATGAAATATTAATATGTGATTTTAATCTTTAAAAAGCTGTGATATTGGCTAGTTACAAGGACATACTACTAAATATAATCTAACACATGACAAAGCATTCTACCATTAGTGTGTCTGTCTACATGTATGCACATTACATACACAGTTGGGTTATCTAAATGTGGGTTAGGCGACTGTCACTACCAAAGAAATCCACAAAGCAACCAACCTAACAAAAAAAAAATCAGTACCACTGTCAGCTAAAATAATCATTCAATTTAGATATGAATCAGCACACAAAAAGTAATATCTCAATAGTACACCTTTTTCTTTTTTTAAAAAAAGACAATCATTATTGCCCTGTATCTAATCTGAAATGGGTTACTTTCAGACACAGTTACAATTGCCTACTTATAAAATCTCTTCCATGCTTTTGTCTAAAGTGCAGAAAAATGACTTTTGTATTAAAACAAAACAAAACAAAACCTATGGTTATTTTTTTTTCTAGATACTGCACACATTCCTCAGGCAATCTTAACCTTGAATTTCCTTTGGTTGACTTCCAATGTGGTTGGTGTCACTATTCAGACGATGAGAGTAGAAAGTCTATTTCACAGCATGGGTTTCTTTAGATACAGGCTCCTGTGCAAAGGCAGTACTTGACCATGAACATCTCTAGTTGTGATTATTAAATATAGTGAGCATACACATGGGTTTACTGGGATATTGCAAAATAAAAAAGGAAAATGAACCCAATTTAGTAAATCAATATAAATATAAAACAGAGCCATTAGCCCTCTACAACCGAACTGGTCCAGCAAGACATCTTGTGCTTGGGTTCTTTCTTGGATGGTTTCAAACCTGCTAAGAGAAGAGGACTTTAAACCAGCAGCCCACAGAGCTTCAGTGATAACTACGTTAACACATAATGGTGACACGAGAGATGCTTATTATTGCTTTTCCCCCCGTTTCCCCCTAGCCATCTCTATATGCTATCCTATACCCTGATGCCATAAATCATATCGTCAGTGTTCTGTGTATTTTTATTTCAAATGAATGACCACAAGACAAGTACTGACATTTTGGAGCCGAGATTCCTGACCCGCTGGCTGGTTAACTTAGCTCTGGATCTGGTGGTTATATTCTATTATTGCTGTAGTTCAGTGCAGTAGGAGGGAGTTTAGGGAGGAGTGCATGCTGTGTGAAAACCGCACCCCTCCACTTTGTACCACTGTGTTTCACAATTTCAGGAGTACCACCCATGTTGTCTTATGTGTGAGTGGTACTCTCTGAGTCCTACCAGTCCAGAGCATCTCTGCTCCACATTCCAGAGCTCTGGCTAAGAGGCATGTGACCACAGGGACTTCATGATACCTGTGATGGCGGGCTCTGGAAGGTCCACATCCCCTACTCAGAAGGGAGTCTGTCTTAACCTGCCACTTCTGAAAGGCCAGATATCTATGCTAGCCAGATTGTAAAGGTCTAGGCCGACAAGTTCATTCTTTGTTTACAAAACCAAACCATCCTTTCCCTACCACTAAGAGAAAATTATGCAGGGAATTTAAAAACATTAATTTTCTGCTGAATGTACAATCTCAAAAACATTATGGATAATGGTTAGGAATGCAGGCTTAGATTGGACTGCTTGAGTATCAATGCAGGTTTTTCGCTACTTGTTTGATGTGTTCCTTCAGGAAAGTTATTTCATCTCTCAGTGTCTCATTTTCCTCAGCTGTAAAATGGGAATAGTCCTACCACTTACCTCCCATGATGGCTGGAGGATCACCGGAAACAGTAATGGTGCCTGGCAAACTGTGGGTGCTCCCTTAGTGTTAAAGGTTGGCAGTGGTGACCCCCTAGGTACTTTTAGTATATTTAGCAATCATTTGGAAAATGAAACTTATTTAGAAGTCACTGTAAATAGAGGCTGGGCAAGTAGGTTCCATGGGACCAAAAGAGCAATATATAACTAACAGAGTATACAGTGCACCAGATCTAGGAGTGCAAAAAGTGGGAAAGGTGAATGAAGGCGGTCTCTCACTATAGTGAATCTCAGTGATGCTCTAGCTGCTGCCACCATGCTTATTAGTGCTGAGTTTGCTTAACACATCTCTATCCCCAGAGTTCTGCTCAACTCAGGACCAGAGTCTTCTTGCCTTACTTATTTCTATGTTGAAGGATAAGACTGGGCCTATTTCTTGAAACAGAGAACGGCTACAGTTTGGAGTGGAACTAGTACCTTGTACAAAAGAGATCCCGTTTGTTCTCTAAGAACTTGCTATGTAGACTGGCCTCAGTCTCAAGAGACCTGCCTGCCTCTGCCTCCCAAGTTCTAGGATTAAAGGCATGCACCACGATCCCTGGCCTCTGAGCATCTTTTAAGCACCAGCCAGAGCCCTTCTCTGAAGAGGGAAAATACCCTTTTCCCAGAAGATCAAGCATTCTTGGCCATTAGTTTTTATGCAATAGCATTTTGCCTTATTTTTGTATATTGTTTTAATTTTTTTGCCATAGCCACCTTAAGTCTGAGGCCATGGGCGATGTCTCCTAAGATGATTCCAGAAAGTAGCTTTGGAGCCACTGAAAGAGATAGACATTTCCTCCTAGGGAGTTATTTTCCCCAAATGACTGTGGAGCCAGGCCCGGACTTTGTAAAGAAATGTCGACCATGGTTATGCCACATAGCTGTCTTGGCCAACTTTCTCACCACTATGGTGTATCTAGAAGGTCTTACTGGGAACCTTTCCCTGACTAAGGAATTATGCTATATAACTGACAAAACTGCAGTGCCAGTGGCTCTGTGAACTTGTCCTTTCATTGGGCTAGACACAGAACTTTTAGAAACTGATGGTCATCCAAGCACAAATGTGTGAGTCAGCAATATTTCTCATTCGACCCCAGGACATCATACTGCACAATTCACTGGGAAAATAATTCTCTCTTTGAAACACAATTCTTCTTTTAGATTACCTTAGTAGGGGAAGTGACCTTATCCACAGATTGCTTTTCCCAGAGGTTCCTCTTGCCAGATACATCTCCTGGCCTCAAGTCCTAATGAAAAGAAAACAGAAAAGAAAAGGAGTGTTAATTTCTGGCTAGGCCTAAATAAGTTAGCCAACACATCTATTGTTTGTTTAGTAAATTCGGTGTTGGGTACACTTTGTATCAATGGTCCAAGATGGATGGAATTGAAAGGACCATTAGCTGTTACATGAATTTTTACAGACCTTGTCCTGTCTCATAAGAATGGGCTAGAATCACATGCAGTATTTGAATCCTTGTCCCTCACCAAAGACTTACTGTTTATAGACCATTGAAACTGGAATATAAACATGTTTAAAATAATATAACTTATTTTTAGCTTTCTACAGTCTTAGAAGTGAATCAAGTGCAGGATACTTAAAATAATTCATTTGGGGTTTAACAAGTGCTTCATGCTTTGCAGATTGAACTTTCTTTCCATGCCCCCATGTCCAGCAGCCCTTACTATTTCAAGTGCACACTAGCAGCCAACAGTGCATGTCTTTTCCTGAGGCTTCTCTCTGACTGCAAATGCCCATGTTGCCTATCCTGGAGGCAGGTTGGAAGTCTTTCATCACGGGAGCATCCTGAACTGCTGAATGAATGATAAACAATGCTTTTCAGACCCACCCTGTGCCTCTGGGCAGATACTTGGAAGCATGTGTTCTTGGGTAGCTCCCTGGTGGCATTAAGTTCTCACAGCCCTTGTGGTGATTTGCTTAGTAACACACTCTGTGGCTATCTTCTGCCTGCTTGCTCCTTACAGTGTTTTCTTCATTTCCCAAACAAAACCCATTGTGCTGGGATCACTCTTTATCTTAGGGTCTAGTAACCAAAATAAAGACACTAAAATCATTTTTTTGCTTCCTGATAGCCAAGTGGGTAATTCAGAAGAGGACTAGCAGAACCCAGCCCCACAAAAATAAACATGTATCACAAGTGGTAACCATAAGAGAAGTGGGAGATTGATGAATGTGAGAAGATGTGGGACTCCCGGGAAGGAAGCACTAAAATATGATCTATTATATTTCCACAGCCTTGAGTTCTTGTTTACTATCTCATAACTAATTTCATTTGGATAAGACTCCAAATTTCTGTTTCTATTTACTTTTCTTCCAAGCATTTGCTTGTATTAGTACTTGGCAAAAGATAGCCTGTAGAAAATGAATATGCTTTACTGAAATAGTACTGCTAATTTTGGCAACCCCTTTCCTCATTCAGGAGGCAAGGCTAGCAACCGAAGTTATCCATGGATAGCAGTCTTGGTGGACACATTCCTAATACAGAATACCGAGATCTCAGCACTGAAAACGAACTGTTCAATAATCCCATTGTCTTACTCATTGAGTTTCTGGATTTTCTCTGTGGCATGAATTCCCAATATCCTATTAGAAAGTTATACCTATTTAACTTGGAAACATGAAACAACAGATCAGATTTGAAAAAAAAAAAAAAGAATTCCACCATATTTGCCAGTGTGGGTAAAAGCTGCCAAACTGTCTAGAAGACTTTAAAATTTTTGGAAACTATAAGAAGGAATGTGCTAATAGAAGCTTTGGAAAGTTGCTCTAATCACATATTTGATTCATAGGAGACAGATATTTTTCTTTCACATGAATGGTCTACCTAAGAAAAATCTATTGCATTTCTCTTAAATATTACCAATGAATCTTTTGAAATCACTTAAAGCAGTTTTAAGAAAATATTAACATCCACATTGTAAGTTGGTATTTTTAAGTCAAAGGGGGAAATATAAATGGAATTACCTGACCAGACTACGTTTTAGAGAAAGACCCACTCCGGAAGAAGAGGGAGAAATGAAGGCAGGAAAGGCAGGTTTCCAAGCAACCAGAGACCCAAGAGTGAAGAAGAGAAGCCTGCTGAGAAAGACAGCATTCTCTTTTTTTAAACAAAAAGAAAGACAAGTTAATTTTTAATTGCTACATAACATGTAGGTTATATACAAAGAATAAACAAACCAGCTAAAATATTCAGAACTGAATTCCAGTTACAAAGTTATCCTGGAAACCTACAAACTCTACTCCTAAATAACTTAAATATCCCAGAAAGACACACAGGGTGGACAGTGTTTAATTGTAAATATGCTAATTTGGGGGGCATATTGACAATTTTGAACACTTGTAATTCATAGTATCTATGAAGATGATGCTGTAGTAAACTATTAGTCCTGGGTAGTTTTTTCCTCACTGAGTCTTACAACTCAACATGCCCGTCCTATGAATTACTCCTTTAATTCTTTTCTGGGTTTCACCGTGGGTAAGGACTATTTTGTTGTAGTAATGTCTTTCTGACTTTTTCCTAATGGCCACACACCACACATCTACAAAAACAAACCTCAGCTTTCTCCCCCACCAATCCGCTCGAGAATAAAAGCAATGGGTTGAAAATAAATTGTGTCTTGTCCAAAAGCAGCAGGTAAAACTGGGGTTTTGCTATTTGCTGTAGTTTTCAGATAATGCTCTGACATCCTGGGCTCAGGCTTAGTTTTGCCAGAGTCCCAAAAGTCAACCTTGGATGCCTGCTATGAAGGACCAAGCTCATATGCCTAAAGAGGCTGGTGTAAAAAAGAAAGGGAATGGAATCAACACATTCAAGAATGCATGCTTCCTATTTCAAACACATGCTCAATGTATAATTTGAAAAATGACAATAATGCGTAATGGCATGGGTCAGAACATGGTTAAGGTCACCAAGTGTGAGACTTCATGGATAGGACCTAGGACCCTTGTCTGGGCTCTTTGTAGCCTACCTTCCTTGAACATTTTGCCTGATAATCTTTATGCTCTACTGTAGGATCCTTGAAGACTTTTCCACACTGAAACTTCACCTCTATTCTACAGGACCCACAGTATCAGTGAATCAACTTGTTTTGCTGGACTCTAACTCATTACCTTTCAAAGAGACACCACATAGCTAGCTATATTTTGATAGTGGTGCTAGGTCTAAAGTATGGGAGGAAATACTACCAGAGGAGTATGCAAAGCTTTAAAATAGTTTAGTAAGTATCATCAAACAAGCATTGTATTTATGACATCAGCTTCATACTGCTTTCTTCCAATCTGGTCCTTTCTCAAGGGGGCCACACTAGCCCACCAAACCCAGTGGGAGGAAAGTGATCACTAAAATCTATATGAACTGCCACATTCTTTCCCACTCTTCTGTACTCTCTAGGACCAGATCTAGCCAGTCACTCCATAGGAGGTAAAGCAGTTAATGATTTTATGTTTCCTGCAGTACTTTTATGTTCTGTCATTTTTTAGGAGGCTATCAATACCCTAAAAAATGTTATTAACTTTCTGGTGTGGGAACCTTGAAACAACTGTATCGATGGCAATTAATCTAATCCTTTTACCCCTTCCATTAGGATGACATATGGCATAGAGAAAGAAGACAGTAAGCTTGTCAGTTCAAGTACTGATTGTAGGGAGTAACCCCAGACCAAATTCATGAATACCATCTGGTAAGGAAACACAACCGATAACAGTGCTATAGACGTGGGGGTGGAGGGGTCAAGGAATCAATCATCTCCTTTAGCAGTATGCCAGACTCAAAGAGAAAGCCTTTGCGTCCTTCCCTTTCCTGTCTTGAGAGTCCCTCAAGGAGACCACAGACTTCCTGAACTGACATATTACATGGAAGAAGCATCATTAGTTCCATTTGGTTATCAAAGGGATTCAGTACTCAAAAATTTAGAAATCACTGGTCTGGAACCATAACATTCACAGAAATGACCATGATAATTTCTGTTTGGAAATAGTTTCTACTTTTTATGTCACCATGGGTGTTGGTGAAATGAAACACTACACATGCCTTTGGGTATGGACTCTGACTTCCCCCGTTTCCTTTGAGAGGACTCCCTCTCCTTTATCAACTGGGGGAGGGAAACAGTTTCTTTGAATGTAAATGATTTTTCCAATTGTAAATTGGGTTGACACTGCTTTATACCTCATGTGAAGCCTTATGCAAAGACTTCAATATTAATCCAAAGGCTCAAGAAGTTACACTCAAGAAGGGACTACAGACACTCCCATCCTTACTTTATAAATTGCAAAGTACTAAGATTAGTGACTTTGGAGACTATATGTGGAACTAACAGATGCAATTAAATTCTGATGTGGCTTAACAACACAGAAGCCTGGGATTTGGGGTGTTTTTCTTCTTACAGAATGCTGGGTTATAGCAGTTCACTCTTTCCCTGGATACTAATAACACTACAGAGCCAACTTAATAGAGAAACTGAGTGGTGAGCTTAATATGG